GGAGGGGCCTGGGGGCTGCTCGGGGCCCCGCCCGCCACCCGCCCCGCTGGCCGCTGAGCCTCGGTCTCCTGGGGGGGGCCTTCGCTCCTCTGCTGCGGGGCGGGAGGGACCCGCTGGAGCCCACGGCCTGCGGTGCAAAGGGGAGGAGCCCAGGCTCCTTCCTGGGCCGACCGGCCCGGGGTCGCCCGTGTCCCCCGGACCACCTGGGAGGCAGGTGTCCAGCTCCCCCCGTTTCACCGGTCCTGCTGGGACTTGCAGCTTGTTTGACAACCCGGGCATCCATCTACCCAACCGGAGGGGGACACCCAGGGGCCCCTGACACCCAGAAGGCCTTCCCGCTCAGAACACACAGCAGAGGGGGCAGGGTCCACCCCAGGGGAGAGCTCGTGACCGCCGGGGACAGTCGGACTGGCCGCAGAAGGGTGTGTGGCCCTGGGCGAGTCACAGACCCTCCCGAAGCTTTACTACTTGTAGACAGAGGGAGGGGTGTCAGTGGCTGACGCAGCCACTCCGCCTAGAGGGGCTGATCACAAGCCCTGCCAGGCCCGGGCCATTCTGAGGCCGAGGCCTGGACCTCTCCACGCGGACTCACTCACTCCCATGGGCACCCAGGCCACTGGGAAGGGCTGCTTCCCCGAATATCAAGTGGGGGAGAGACCGGCCAGGGGGGCTGGCGCACACCCCGAGGTGGGGCCAGGGAGGGCGTGCTCGAGGGACAGACAGGACACCAAGGGCCTGCGCAGGACGCTTGGGGTCAGAAGACTCACAGAGGGCTGGGGATGGTGCCCCCGAGAGACGCCTGGGAACCTGAGCCCACCCACTCGCTGGGGCACAGAATAGCCCCCAGCTGAGGGTCTGAGCATAGGGGGTGAGGGGCTCACAGCACCAGAAGCCCGGGAGCAATGATTTTGCCCCCTCCCCCAGATTGGCAAGCGGAGCACCTAAGAGCCAAGCCCTCCTGCAGCCCCCGGGGGGCCAGGGCTCTGGGCAGTGGGGGTTCTGGGGCTGCGGATACCATGCTGTCAGGTGCTTCTTTGGGTGGGCGAGGGAGAGCTCTGGCTGCTTGTCATCTGCCAGTGGCCAGGGGCTTGGGTTGTAGTTGAGGAGTAAGGTATGGGTGCAGGTGTGGACAGGTGTGAGTGGGTGTCGAACAGGTGGGGACAGGTGGGTGAGCAGGTGTGGGCAGGTCTGTGCTGCTCTGCACAGGCTGCAGGCTGTGATCCTGAAGAGGGACCCCTTTTCCATGTAGAGGTGCCTCCCCCACTGCCCCAGGCCCCTGGGGGGAGCCGACGGAGCAGGCACGCTGGACCCTCCAAACCAGCTGCACAGAGGCCCTGGGAGCACGGTGCCGGGAAGGGTCAGCCCCCTTGCATCTGCACCCACACAGCTAGCCCAGGAGATGGAGCCAGTGGGGATCAGTCCTGGGGTTACACACATCGGCTTTACCAGGAAGAGAGGGTCATTCACCCTGAGAGGAGAGGCATCCACACCTGGAACTCTCTCTCCTGAGCAAGGCTGGTCAGTCAGCCACCTGAGTGACATGTGGCTGTGATGGAAAGGTACGGTCCCACAGCCTGATGGCAGTCTGGGCCACAGGGTCCTTCCTGGGTGTCCTCCCCTCGACACCATGCCGGCTCTCCCTGGGGCCCTCAGGAACTCGAGTTTGAGACCTTGGGACCCTGCCATCACCTGCCAGTCTGCTGATTAACCACAGACTCCCAAAGCTCTGCTTCTCCATAGGGCTCCATGGGCTGCCTGTCCTAAGAGGCTGGGTGTGGGGGCCGGGTGACCCTCAGGGACTCCAGGAGGCACCCCCACCCCCACCCGGCCAGAAGCACCTGCTTGAACAGCTCTGAGCACAGGCCTGGTTTTGCCCGATTTGTGTAACTGTCTGAGGCAGCGCTGGGGCCAGACTGCAACCCCTGGAGGGTCTGAGGGGTTCCCCCTCCCCCTCTGGCTCCACACAGGGATCCCCTCATCCACAAGGAGCACTCGTGTCTCCCTGTGCTGCTGGGAGTCCTCGGGTCCCTCTTACTCTCTCTGAGGGTTTGGAAGCTGACAGAGTAACAGGACAAGCAGGTGCTGCAGGTTAGGGGACTCTGGAGAAGCCTGCCCTCCATGGGCAGCCAGGGTCACAGCTCGGGAAACAAATGTCCATGGGAAACTCAGGTGGAGGGCCGACATCGGTGGCCCTGGGCACCCTGCCCAGACCTGGGAAGTAAAACCTTGGACGCTTCGCCACAGGCGGGCGACACAGCCATTCCTTGGAGATGGAACCTTTGGGTTGGGGCGGGCAGGGGGGTGACGCTCCGCTCCTGTGTCGTAGCCTCCGTGTGCCTGGCCCTGCGCCCCTGCCTCAATGGCGGAAAGTGCATTGACGACTGTGTCACCGGCAACCCCTCCTACACCTGCTCCTGCCTCTCGGGCTTCACAGGGAGGAGGTGCCACTTGGGTGAGTTCGCTGATGGCACTGCCAGCTGGGAGGCACTGGGCTCTGAAGGAACCCTGGAAGTGCAGCCAGTGGCCCTAAGAGCCCAAGGTCAAGGGTCTCTGTCCCCATGGTGGGAGGTACATGTGTGGGGCACCACTGGGGGCGCCAAATACCATGGCTTCCTGACAGCACACTGGGTAGATGCTACAGCTGCCCCTCTGATCCCACTGCCCCAGGGGTGAGGCCCAGGAAGGCCAGGTTTACTGTCCCTTCACCCGCCCCCCCAGGTATGGCAGATCCTCCCAACCTGGTTCCTCCACTGAGGCCCAGCCGCCCGTTTTTCAGATGTGAACGAGTGTGCTTCCCACCCGTGCCAGAACGGTGGGACCTGCACTCACGGTGTCAACAGCTTCAGCTGCCAGTGCCCTGCTGGCTTCGGGGGACCCACCTGTGAGACAGGTAAAAGGAAACCACCTGGGCCCCCAAGTTCTGCTGGCTGCAGGATGGGCAGCCTGGGGGAGTGTCGAATCTGATGTGCCACAGAGGGCTTGGGACCGGGCACTGGCCATCCAGAGAGGCCTGAGGGTCCATGGCAGGAGCACACCCCCTGCTTGGAGTGGTCAAAGGCTGGCTCAGAGCCGGCCGAGCTCCCTCCTCTGCTGCCCACAGACCTCAGCCACCAAAGCACCTCCATACCTGGGGGGTGAGGCCCTCCCCCTTCCTTCCCTGCCCCCCAAGACTCCAGGGAGGGCTGCGCAGCTCTTCAGGATTCATCCGGTCCCTGTATTGAGTTGTCCGGGGACAGGTGATGTAGCTGGGGACAGGCGGTGCCCCCCCTCCCTGGCTTTGCTGTCAGTGACCACCAGGGAGTGGGGCAGGCCGCGTTCCCTGTGGCGGGTGGGAGGGGAAACGGAGGCAGGCTGTGCCCGCTCACGCCCGCTCTGACCCGGGCAGAGCCTCTGCACCTGTCCCGGCAGCAACGTGAACCCCCCGCCCCGCCCCCAGGACCACTGGGGTCCCTCCTGCACCCCTGGGCACTGCACACCCTCCGAGGCCCCATCACAGGCTGTCCCCCGCCAGGCTGGGAAGAACCTCCCTGGCAGTGCCCCAGAGTCCCCCTTGTTGGTCAGCGCGCCCACGGCCTGCGGAGAAAGCCCCGAATCGGAGGCGGCGGGTGGGGACTGCGCGGGTCAGGGCCCCACCGCCCACGGGCCGCTCCAGGGCGCCAACGGCCCTCCGCCCTCCGCCCTGCAGCACAGTCTCCCTGCGACGCCAAAGCCTGTGCCAACGGCGGCCGGTGCCAGGTGGTCAGCGGCTCCGCGGTGTGCGAGTGCCCGGCGGGCTACACGGGCAGCGCCTGCGAGACTGGTGAGTGCCCTGCGCTCCCTCGAGGGGAGGGGC